AATTTGGTATGAGTAAACTAGACTTAATGAATAAGATGCTCAAAAAAATTCAAAAAATTCCACCGAAAAACGCCTCAAATGGCACGTCCGGACAGAATCTTTTATTTAAGGACTTATTTGACCCCTTTTATACAACTTCGAGGATGAAACTGACCCTTTTCTCAATAAAATACTCACATTTTTTAATTGTCACCATAAATATTGGTTCCAATATTATGAATGATGATGCTCAAGTGCATTTGAGTCTAATGCATCAAATTTTCAAGTTTGTTGGATAAGTAGTAAAAATGACTACCTCCGGATTAGAAAGTAGATTTCTAATTTAGGTTATTTACATGACAAATAAGAATATGACTGCATGATTGTTATTCCAACTATATGTATATGACATATAGAATTATAGAAATATAAACATGTCAATGTATTCTAAAAAAATGTTTAAAATAGGACTACATGAAATCCGACTATATGAATATAACATATAGATTTACGGAAATTCAGACATGTATTTTGCCCTAGAGATAATTTATGAGCATAAAATATAGTAATCTTACGTGACTATGGTTCCAACTATATGTAAGTGACATATAACATTACAGAAAAGTATAATCACATAATATGTATAAATTAATTAAAAAATGCATAATATGATCTTAATTCCAACTAGGGGTGTAAACTAGCCGAGCCGAGCCCTAACTTACATATGCTCGAACTCGAGCTCGAAAAAATTTTATATGCTCGAGTTCGGCTCGAGCTCAAAAAATTGAAACTCGAGTTCGACTCGAAAGCTTAGCCATTTTATTAAGCTTTGATGGCGTGCTGCTCGGTTGGTTCACAATTGTTTGCATGGATATGAGGTGCTTTATAGGTGGTTGGTAGAGGAAACTACTCCTCACTTTGCGGTGTGGGAAGTATAGAGATTAGAAACTAAAATCAAATATGAGTGTTGAAATCCGAAGGAGTACACAAAAGGATACCGTGGAGAGGATTCGAACATGGATTGCCTACAAATCCTACAAGGGCAATTCCATCCCGTCTACCAACTCATTTGTGTAAACTTTGATGTCATTTTCTTTTATTCTTATTCCTAGTGAACTAACAAAAAAACTAATACTTTTTTTTGTTTTTACGAATAAACTAATACTTACTTCGTGTTATATATGTAGTATTATACTCCGTAATTATTATAGATAATGATTATAATAATAAATAATGTTATATTTTATTATGTCTATTATAATATACGTAGTAATAAGTATTGAAAATAGAGTAATTCTAAATAGAATAACTATTTCAAAAATATTATATATATAATTATTATACAACATTTAGGCTCGCGAGCCACGAGCCTAAAATTAACAGGCTTGACTCGAGCTTGTTTAGTATACGAGTCGAGTCGAACTCGAGCCGAACTTGAATATGATCGAACTCGAGTCGAGCTTTTCCCGAGCGATCCACGAACGGCTCGCGAACGACTTGGCTCGTTTGCACCCCTAATTCCAACTATATGTATTTAACATATAGCTTTACGGAAAGTATAATCATATAATATGCATGAAAATAAGATTAATTCGTGTGATCTTTGATTCCAACTATATGTATGCATATAGCTTTACAGAAAAGTATGATCACATATAAAAAGGGGAAGGATGCATAATGTGATATTGGTTCCAACTATATGATTATAACATCGCTCCTGCTCCGCGCGCCACTTTTATGGCGATGTGCACGTACTTTTGGTCAAAGATGGACATCTATATCCTTGGTCATGTACGGCAGTCGTAGTTATCTTGCTAGCCGCACCCTCCAACTGCTTTTCCGTAAATAGAAAGCATAGTTTTAGGAACATCTTTTTTTAGGTGACAACTCCGATACCTTTCTAAAAAATAGGGTACTGTACCTACCATTCATTTGATTAGACCACACCACTTTATCGTTTTTAATTTAGATTTAAATAATTCAACTGCTACATTCTTATTGGTTCATGTGGACAAAGGTATGGTACCTTATGGGTACTATAGAATCTACCTTTTTTTAAGGGATAATTTAAGCATCTTACATCCGTATTGACTTTTTTAATGGGTTGCCTTGCTTCTTTTAAAATAAAACTAAATTTTAATATTTCCTAAATTTTGTGTAACATGTTTTAAAAAATAACTTAACTATCTTTGAAATATACTCAAATTCCTAATATAATCAGGATTAAAGCTCCTAACTACTATCAAAAACCTGCTATATAAATATATGGAACCCATTATGAATGCGCTTATAAATTTCTTACAATCTTCTTATATAATGGATGATGAATCTGAAAATTATCTAAAAATTAGTATTTTTGATTTTCAGTAACATTTTTAATTCTAGTAAACTAATTATTTTCATTTTTTATTTGGTTGACTAATTTCAAAGGTGTTGATTCCACATTACGCTCAAATATGTTACATGACTGGATTTATGATGTGAATGAATTATTTCGGATGTTTTAATCAAACAAATAGGATCATATCTGATTAAAACAAATATGTTTGAATCAACCATTCACGATACTTGACTATATTTTTTTTATAAAATTTATATATATAATATTGGTGTCATATGAAAGATTTTAAAAAGATATTTAATTTGATATAATTTTTATAAAAAATTGGAGCAAGAATGAAAAAGTTATGACATTTTATAAAAAAAAGGAATTACTTACCACATGACAATATTTTATTGGATGTATAGTGAAGGTAGAACTGATATGGGCAATCCCCTGAATGGAGCGAGCGTGTAGGTGCACCAAGCAACTTTTACTAACGTTTTAATTGTAATTAATTTTAATTAATAATTAAGAAGACCAAATTTGTCCAGCCATGGTTACTTAAAGCAATTGTGGGGGTGCGCGAAGCACCACCCTTATAACATATAGCATTACGGAATTATAAAAAAAATGCATCTATCTCCAAAAAATGAATGAGGCATAACATCAAACACTTGTTGTGCAATAAATAGATTTATAAAAAAATGACAACTTAATCTCGAAAAAAATTCAGTGATAATGCAATAAATCATACACACATGATTTACAATTTCAAAATTTCAAAATCTTAGTTTTAGTCATATAACCATGGCGAGATAAACTAAAATAACCTACTGTTAACAAAATTCCACAAGCGATTCCATGGAGTCTAAAAAATTCCACAAAGGTATGCAATTAAAATATTCAAATTAGCATATATGTATAAAACAGTACTCTTCTACGAGCATAAAATAGTACAATTTCGAAGCATATAATATATTCATTGCTCAAGTAAAAATTCAGACAACAAGCTTTAGAGAAAACAAGACAAACCTTAACTGTCGTTGGAATAATAGGTTGACGGAACAGAGAGGGGGGCTACTGAACTGATCAGCAATGGATGAAAATGGCCGAGTGCGGTGGCAGAAAAAATAGGGTTAGAACAATCGTGCTGATAACGTGTTGTAGGGAGAATGCTTCATAGAGTTTCATTACCAAAAGCCCCTATAAATAGGGATAAACATGGATGGATTCGGTCGAGCCACCCGACCCGTGACCTGGCCCGGCCTGCTACTGTGCGGGCCTGGGACAGGCCCGATCTGACGGTCCGGGACCGGGTATGGACCTGAACCGGTGGGGGAAGTGGGGGCGGGCTCGGTTCATGCAAAATGTGACCCGGCCCGGCCGGGTCGGGCCCGGTTCCAGGTCACAACGACTATATTTTAAAAAACAATCTTTTGGGCCAAAGATGACCGTTGAATGGGTTGGGGACAACCCAAACGGCTATATAGCCACTTTGGTAGTTTGGTTGTTTGAAATTTGAATCAATAGAGGCATAGAGCCGTTGGGGGTGGGGGTGGGTGAGAGGTGGGGGTACGAAAAAATCTATAAATACTCTTATTTTCTAACATTTTTATATACATCTTCTCCAACATCCAATCTTTAATCTCCACTCTCCATCTTCATCTCCACCTATTGTAGAATTATTATATCTATCATTTTTAAGATGGAAAGTCAATATGCCGTTACACGGTCTAATTTTGATAAGCAGAAGGACCCGAGGACCGGGATGTGATATGCAACTTGCAAATGGTGCGGGAAAAGTGTAGCATGGGGGTTTCAGGTAGGAGTGGACTCGGACCGAGCCAACCGGGCCAGAACCGGACCGGCCCGCTACTGTGCGGGCCCGAACCGGCCCGATGAACCGGTTGGTGCCCGGTTCGGGCCACCCGGTACAGTGAGGTAGGCGGCCCGGGCCTCCTAAATCATGAACCGAACCGGCCGATTCGGGCCCGGTCCGGGCCAAATTAATTTTTTTTCTTTTTTATTTTGAATTTTTTTTAAGTTTTTGGGTTGGGCTGGGTATGATGGGCCATTTGAGGTGGTTTGGAGTGGTTTGGGGGTGAGGGGGGAGGGTTGGGGGTTAAATAGGAAAAGCAAAAAAAAAAACAGCATAAGAACCGAGGTCCGAGCCTTCCCTTTCATGAACCGAGGCCCGAACCGGGCCCGAACCGGAACTGGTCCACCCCTAGTTTCAAGCGGATACGGGATGACAATGAAGCATATTGAGTCATGTGAGTATGTGACAAAGCCAAAGGATCGAGAGGTGCAGGAAGTTACGATTGATTACAATTTACAAAATGTATTTCATTTTGTATGTTTCTCTTAATTTTCAAATGTAGTTCCTATTTCATTTCAAATAAATGCACCTGAAGTTTATTTTTACTACTTGTATAAAACTATAATGTATAAATTATAAATAAAAAAAATTGGTTTTAACCGGCCCGGCCCGACCCGGCGGGTGGCCCGCCCCGAACTGGACCCGTCCAAACTTCGAGCCGGTCCCGGGTCCATGAGTTACAAACCGGCAGCTCGAGCCCTGACCGGGCCTAGACCTGGCCCGGCCCGAGCCCGACCCGGCCCAGCCCGAGTCCATGCCTAGCCGCCTAGGGATAAAGTAGGGTTTACAAGTACGGGCCAATATGCCCATAATACATGATTTACACAGAAAGACTCTAATACATATTCTATCTAAAGGATAGCACACAACATAGAATTTTCTTCAACAACAGCTACATAGTAATGTCTGGCGACTCTATATCTCCCTTTAAGATCAAGAAAAATAAATAAGGCAACAACATCATCGTACAACAGTCTTACGTACATCCCACATTCAACTGGATCTACCTACTAAAAGCTCCATACATGTGATATTCAACCGAAAAAACACATTAAAAACTGACCCGTAATTCTAGAAACATTATTGACAAATTAGCTATATGCTGAAAGCATCAAATATCTCTGCAAATATTAATTTAAACAATAGCATCGTAACAAAAGTACCCTCCTCCACATATTAGTTTCAAGCTTCTTTATATTTAGTGTTCCTTTTTCAAGCTGGCTGGACAGGTTTTACACCGTCTGCAAATGCTTCCAGATCGTACAAGGCTGTTACTGCCGTTTCATGGTTTAAGAATGGTCTTATAAAACTTGCGGTTTCCATTATCCGTGATTTCTGCCAAATGATTGAAGTGTATAAGCATATACTGATAAGAACACAGAAAATCTGAGGTTGAATTGTTGGAATATGAAACTGAAATTGAAGAAACGGGAAGGTAACGATACAGTTGAGGCAAGTTCGAGAGTGCATCGTCTCTCCCAGTCCTAATCCCAAATCCAAAATCTGCCTGCCTATTCCTCCCTTTTCCCCCCTTTTATATACTTTCTATTCTTAAGGACCGGCCCAGACTTCCTAATTACAAGGCCCAAAACATTTATTTATACAATAACACTATTTAATAATACTCTATTATTCTTATTATTATTATCTGTCCCTGTCCCTATCATATCTCCCCCCTTGAACAACCACCTTGTCCTCAAGGTGGGTGATAGGAAACAGCCTTGATCTGCAACTTCATCTTCTTTATGATGCCTCTTCCTTCCCAATACATCCCGGGTTTCTGGGCCTTTAACTTCAGTACTTGAGGCTGCATCTTATTGTTCTTCCCTTCAAAAGCTAGTAGAAACCAAGTCATGGTGGCAGAGTGCTCCCTTAGGTTACAAAATATTGAATCTCCCAGCAACCGTGTCTCTTCCCTATAGATTTCAGCAACACTGTTCGCCAGAGGTAAAGACGAAAACCACGCTGCCTCATTATTTTCCTTCTCTATGAAAACAATGACTGCATCAATGTAGATCTGATTTGCAAGCTTGGACAATGACTGTCTGGTCAAGTCTACCAATTCATCTCTGTAAGTGAGTCTTCCCGCGAGCCCGGCTCCTCCATCAATGAATAATTTGAGTGCCTTCAAGTCATCCGGTTTTGGCTTCTCAGGTTTGGTATCAAGTGATGAATCCCAGGCAGGAATTTCTACTATGAAATCCTTGTTGTGGTCAGTAATTCCGTCTCTGCAATTGTATACTGTGTGATAAAGTATCTCCCCAGCAGCTTCAACTTGACCAACTCCTTGACCATATCTTCTAGTAGCATTAGTGTCTGCGCTGATGATTCCCTGAAGCTTCCTTCCCTCATTTCCTTGTTCTATTTCCACAGTTTCTTCAATGTGAACAGTCCCTGTAGAGCTCTCCCAAGTGTTTGAACCAGCCGATTTATCAACTACAGATTCATAATCTATGGAGATAGAGGATTGAGTCACCACAGCCGATTTCTCCTCTTTATTGACTAGAGACAGCTCTATCTCTCTTCTGGTTCGGCTGTGTCCTTGATTCCTGAATACCTCATCTTTGTTAGGTATCGTCTGAGAACTGAAAAATTCTCTTCTCGAAGGCTTCGTACTTTGATCCAAACTGAGAGAGTCAGCTCCCGACAAGGCCGGAGAACTGGGGAGAGTTGCTTGTGACTTAGACCAAACTTGTGAATTGAAACCTCCTGCCAATCTCGTTTCACTTGGAGAAGAAGAATTTCGTGAGTGTGATTGCAAAGACTTCAGCGAACGTATGAGGAATTCAGAAGATGGACTGTAAGAATTTCGCGAGTGTGATTCCTGGCGTTCTGTCTTTCGCATGCCTGTAGGTTGGAAACGCCGCATTATGGCTTCCTTCATAGTCTCCCAACTCTTGTCTCTCATTTGAGTTTCCCACCATTCAAACCAGTGATACGCCCTTTCTTCCATAGCCTCAGCTGCGACATCAACCTTATCTTTTTCTGTAATAGCATAGAGACAGAAATATCGTTCCATCCTATCCATCCATCTAAAAGCGTCATCACCATTGAAAGAAGGTAATTCCATCTCCCTCCTTGTTCCATTATAACTTGGATGGCCCCTGTGGTAATTTCGTTCCTGATTTGACCAAAAATTGCCAGAATTGGTTTTATAACTTTCCCCCCAATTCTGAGATTTCACTGTTGCAGGTCCCTTTTCTTTTCCAGACCACTTCTCCTCCTCTTTCCTTTTCCCAGAAATTGTATCACTTTTCTGCTCAATAAGTATTGCTTTATCCATGATCTCAGTTAAAGATCTGGATGAATACAATTTCATTTCCGCTTTTATATCCTTCTTCAATTCTGTAATGAAAATACCTTTTAACAAATCATTGTCAATATTCAGTTGAGGCGCCATCACCTTTTCAAATTCCTCTCTGTATTCCTTTACTGTTGCCTTTTGTTTCAAACTGAGTATCGGTCCATATGGCTTCTGAAGCAACTCTGGTTGAAATCTGCAAACAATAGATCTCTTCAAAGCCTCCCAACTTGTTTCTTCTGTCTGGTTCTCCCACAAATGATACCACTTCAAAGCTATATCTTCCATCCCAACCCTAGAAACTTCAACCTTCTCTTCTTCTTCGATATGTTCAAGTCGAAAAAATCTCTCCATTCGAAGAATCCAGTTGTATACTCCCTCACCATTGAACAATGGTAAGTCAATTTTCGGGCCCATACGTACAGGTATTCTCGCAAAATCATCGTTACGATGGTGAGCATGAGTACTAGGGTTAGCGGAATTATCTCTGGAAGCCACCGGACTGTTCAAAGTTCGTACATGATGACGATGGCGAGATCGCGACCTTCTACTCGCTCGGAATTCATCGTTCCTCGTATCCAGTCTTCCGTTCAGGTTTTTCATCATCGTTTTCATCTGTAGCAGCGTTTCCTCATTTGCGGTCCTGCTACACTTCATTTCTTCCATTAGATTCTCCCGCTTCTCTCCTTTTCCGCACGAAGCATCCTGATCGGATCTTCGCTGCTGCCTGCGCGAGTCCTTTCCTCCTTGCGTAGACTGGAGCTTCTCCATGTTCGCGCATAACTTTTGCTTGCTGGTGCGTTTCTCACTATTCGCGTGCAAACCAGAACGCTTCTCCACGTTTTCCAGGCTTCGAATGCTCTGATACCATTGATAAGAACACAGAAAATCTGAGGTTGAATTGTTGGAATATGAAACTGAAATTGAAGAAACGGGAAGGTAACGATACAGTTGAGGCAAGTTCGAGAGTGCCTCGTCTCTCCCAGTCCTAATCCCAAATCCAAAATCTGCCTGCCTATTCCTCCCTTTTCCCCCCTTTTATATACTTTCTATTCTTAAGGACCGGCCCAGACTTCCTAATTACAAGGCCCAAAACATTTATTTATACAATAACACTATTTAATAATACTCTATTATTCTTATTATTATTATCTGTCCCTGTCCCTATCATATACACAATTGGGCATTAAGTATAAGGCAAGAAAAATAAGTTGCTCTGCCTCTATTTATAAAATAATGTTACAAAGAATAGTGGAAAGGCCAACACAAACAAACCTTTAAGGAAAAGACATTTCCCTGTGCCCAACATGGGAAAATCCAAGAAAACAAAATAGAGGGCATTTTTTATGGAAATAATCAGGTCCAAAGTCCACGCATAATTATAACATTAACCCATATTTGACTTACTAGCTGTTCAAGATGTCCCTCCAGAGCCAAGTGATGGGAATATGAAGCAATCGGCGCTATCAATGGTGTGTTCTTAAGCATACAAAAAGTACAAAAAGAATTAAGTTATCATTGCAGTAGTAATGAGAATTGAGAACATTAATTAAGCCAAAAAGATCACATTAATACAGCACTAGAAATAAGCGCTACATCACTACAACAACAACATCACCCCAATGCCACACGGGCTCTCACCTACGGTGGGGTAAGAGGGATTGGATGTACGCAGTCTTACCCCTGTACTAAAGCACAAAGAGACTGTTTCCGGATGACCCATAACTCCATAAGCGTTGCATCACTACTTTACACAAATAAAACCCTAATGTCAAAAAACATTTTACCAATTTTTCCCATCAAAGTGATTAAAGGCTCACCACCTTAAACATGAAGAGACCAAGGCTTGTTTGACTCTGAGATTTAGGCAGGAAGGGGATGGAAGAATTTGTTTTTATTTTACTTACCTAACTCCAATTGTTAGCTTTAGACTAGATATAACTACACGATTAGTTGTACCATATATATTTATATAGTTTTATCTTCACTTTATTTTCAACCATCTGAATGTGAAAAACAGTTTTGAAAAATATCTTATCCTCCCCTCCCCTCAGAAATTCCTGAACCAAACAAATCTCTTGAACTCTTAAGTGAAAATGAAGGTGGAACCTGGTTGGGAGATGAAAAGAATTAAGATTGGAATTGAAAAACCATGGTTCTAATGACAAAACATTTACCAATGTTTCTCTTCAAAGTGATCAAAGGCTCACCTAAAACGTGAAGAGACCACTTGTGGCTACATAGGGCTTGTTTGGCTCAGATATTTAGGCAGGAAGGGGATGGGAGGATTTATTTTTATTTAATAACCTATCTCCCATCGTTAGCTTTACACTAGATATATCTACATGATTAGTTAGACCATATATCTCTATATAGTTTTTATCTTCACTATATTTTCAACAATCTAAATTCTAAAAACAGTTATGAATAATCACTTATCCCCTCCCCTCCCCTCAGACATTACTGAACCAAACAAGCCTTTAAAATCTTAAGTGACAATGAAGGCGGAACCTGGTTGGAAGATGAAAAGAATAAGATTGAAATAAATATAAATTGAAAAAACTGAACTTCTCCACACTAGGCTGATAGACATCCAACCCAGCCACCTATTAAATATTATAATAAAGTATACACAAGGAGGAAGGGGAGGGTAGCTGTTAATTAGCCAATTATTTAGTTATGCTATTTTGTCGCTGCGTGGACACGTGACTATAAATAGTAACCTAGTTTCTATTTCTGAGTAGGCTGTATTTTCTGTTGGGTAAGGATTTGGAGACTGGGCATCTCGAATAAGCCCCTGAACAATGTATCCCCGTGATCTGTTCAGTTGGAGGAATAAAGCCATTCGATCTATTCCTTCCATTTCTCTGTGCTTCTTTTATTGTTTGCTTTGCAGATTCCAGTGATCTATCATTGGTATCAGAGCATCGGACCTGGGGAATCGAATTTGACGGACGACGTCAACTGAGTCTCGTATTCAGTAGTGGATGGTAAAAACGCGATCGAAAATGGAGCATCGCATGGAGGCTTTTGAGCAGGAGATGAGAGCCACCATTGCTAACCTCACTTCTGCGATGAACGAACAAATCCAGAATAGCATCGCAGCATCTATGGCAGCTCACCAGAACAGGCGCGATCATACCAGGGGTAGATCGCGATCCCCACATCATCATCGCTCGCGACAACCGCACAGCACGTCCCATTCGAGAGGTAACTCTGTACACTCACCAGTTCCTGCTCGTCGTGTTCGTACAGGAAGAAAGGTGGATCTACCTTTGTTTAATGGGGAGGGTGCCTATAATTGGATCGTAAGGATGGAACGTTATTACAGACTGAACGGGATTGAAGAGGAGGATAAGGTAGAAGTATCGGTTGTGGCCATGGAGGAAAGAGCTTTGAATTGGTTCCAATGGTGGGAGCATCAGGCTGAGGAAAGAACTTGGGAGAATTTGAAGGAGGCTGTGATTCGTAGGTTTCAACCGGAACTGATACAAAATCCGTATGGCCCTATGCTCAGTTTGAAACAAACTGGGACAGTGAAAGAGTATAGGGAGGAGTTTGAGATGGTTATAGCTCATCAGAAGGATATTCTGACAGGGTATGCTGCGAGGCATTTTTATCAATGGTCTGAAGGATGAAGTTAAAGCGGAACTCAAACTTTATAACTCCAGATCCCTATCAGCTATCATGGATAGGGCTTTACTGATTGAGCAGAGGAATGAAGCTGTGTACGGGAGGAGTAAAACTACAGACAGAAATGAAGCGAGGAACAAGGGGCCTATGCAATACAGATCCCCAGCTTGCGGTGAGGGATATAAAACCAAGTCTGGGAGTTCAGGGCCCCAGACCGGAGACAAGGGATAACACTAATAATAATATAGTAGTGGTGTTAGTAATAGAAACTCATCTATCACATTAATTCATCCACGTTACTTTTGAGCATCTCTATCGCGAGATGCACCCGTATCAAGAGTCCTATGTCATATACTTATGAGTTATGATAAAAAGCAAAGAAGAGATCTGGAGAAGTATTGTTGAAGGTGCATTTTCATAGAGCGCAAAAATTCCTTTTATTTGCAAAGTCTCATAATCTTTTTTTATTACTCCCTCAGTCCCAATTTGTAAGATATGTGTCCTATTCACTTGGTCAACACAAATCACTCTTAATCTCTTACTTTATAAATCAAATTTGATTCTGGTTTTTGCGACTTTGTAAAGCTTTTAATGTAGTTTCTGAGTATGTAATGTTTTTTTCTAAAATATTTTGAGTGTGGACAGGGATCCGTTTGCTTTATCGTAGGTCATACATCGTAAACCGTAAAGTATCTTACGAAGTGGGACGGAGGGAGTATTAAAAGGCTCATTACACATCTTTTGATATATCAACCAGCAATTCATCTTATGAATTAACTTTTTTATTCAGAGATTTATACCATTTTCAAACCTAAAATAAGTTTAAATTTTGAAAAGCCATTGAATATAGTAATTTATAAAAGAGTCAAAGAGTGGACTTAATTTTGTTTATACTAAAAGAACCATGGTATGTCCTTAAGTTTACTTTTTATATTATTAGCCAAATATTTGTGACATCACTCGCCTATATTAATAGCTTTATGTTTTCAATTTCTAACCTCTAACTTTTTTGTTTCAGTTCACTTGAGCTTAATATGTCATTCAGGCCTAAAACATTGACATGTTGCAATCTTTAAACTGGCATTCATAATATGTGTACCCTGTTGAGAACTTCAAGACAAAAGCAACAGGAGTTTCAAATGAACAAAGGGTGTTAATAGTAATGAAATCATTCTTATTAATATTTGATGTGTTTGGAAAAAATGTGCTTTTTATATGAAAAAGAACTCTTTTGTACATTTTCAGGAGACCGAAATTGATATTTGATAGTAGGAGAAAAACTTCTAAAATTTATAAAAGTATGCAATAGCTTATGAAAGCACTTTTAATACAATATATCTATATATACTAAATATGTGACTATTTAAAATTCTAATATTCCTTTTTGGGACGTATCTAAATAGAGTCTTGTTTCCTTTTGTGTAAATAAAATCTTGTCAATTCAGACTACTACAGTACTACCCTCAAATAATTATAAATGTAAAGTGTCAAACATTGTTAGACAGTGGCAAAGGAAAAATTTACTCTCAATTGGAAAGACCATTTGAGGAATGAGATAATCAGACAAAAGGTAGGAGTAGCACCTATAGAAGATAAGATGCAAGAGTCTCGTTTGCATCTGGATTGGTCATGTGCGTAGAAGACCAAGTGATGCACATGTTAGACGACTTGAGAGGTGGGGAGAAGAGGCATGGAGGAAAGGGAGACGAAGACCCAAAGACACTTGGATTAGAGAAATCAGAACTGATATGCGTCTTCTTGGGTTGGATGAGAGTATGGCTTTAGAGAGAGTAAAGTGGAAGACACACATTCGTGTGGACGAGTGATCTTTTTGCTGTTTCCTCTCTCTTTTTCTTTTATCATTTATCTTCATTATCTGTTTATGTGCTTATGTTATTTTTTATGTTCTATCTTTTTTATGCTCTTTTATCTTTTTACCTTTTATCTTTTAATTTTTTATCTTTCTTATATTCTTATGTTATTGTTACCTTATATCTATCTTTATTCTATCCATTTTATCTTACTTTTTCCCCTTATCTTTCTACTCTTTTTAGCACTAATATCATGGATCGATTCATGTTAGCCGACCCCAAATTATTTTGCGATTAAGGCTTGAATGTTGTTGTTGTAATTGGAAAGGCTTTTCATGAAGTCAATGAAAAAAACTGATTCCATGAACTCTATGAAAGTCATCGTAAAACTAATATTTCATCCTGATATCTATTAAATATACATGTTCATTTTAAAATTTAAAATAAAATTTTATTTACACGCTAAATGCTTTAATTTGTGGAAGAAAATCAAAAAACTTATTTGTCCTTCTTAAACTCATTCTCATAGTGGGATCATTTAGTCCCATCCCAGACAATTAGCTAGTTAATGACTTAATGTGCTGACAGAAATATGTCAACCACCAAAGGCACTTCTATAAGTTCTATGTTTTGTACTTTGTAGTGTGAGGTAATGAAAATATCTGAAAACTTTTTCCCATCAAAGAATTTACTTACTCCCTTTGTTTCACAATATATGACATTGCAATTAGCTTTTTTATGTTGAAATATATATATTTGTATACAGAAAAGATCCTGTTCAGCCGTCCGTCCGGTGCCATTGGGGTGGTTCTCGGTGAAATTTTCTTATGAATTTTTTTGAGCATGTTCGTCGTGAAGTCTAGATTATGCCCACCAAATTTCAGCTTAAAATTCATATCGGAAAGGCAGTTAAATAAATTATTGAAAAACACTGCACTTTTATATATACAGTTTGGCACAGTATTTTCAATACTTTATTTAACTTACTTTTCGATTGAATTTTAAGCTGATTTTTGTTGTGCATACACTTCATGAAGAACATACTCAAAAAATTTCATCAAAAAATTCCACCGAGAACCACCCCAAACGAAGGCGACGGAACAGATGGTCTTGTCCATCCGGTTGGACAGGATCATTCCTCTACGTGTATATATATACACATCGATCGGAATTTTAGGTAGTATTGATTTTTTAAACAAAATGAGACCTTAGCTCAAATTAAATACTTAATCTCTAATAAGATTTGGTGGCGACTTTGGGAATTTATAGTGCCATTAATATAGTCTACGAATAGTTCAAGATTTTCTTGATAATGATAATTTGGAACAAAACTCACTTGCTTAGTTGAGTTTATAGCAAAGTAACATTTATATTCGTCCCATTCAATTCTATGCGTTCGAATTGTGAATTTAATGTAAATTTAATAAATAGAATTTGGATTATGACAAAAAAAACTGAATTCAGAAGTTATAGAAAAACTCAAAAAAACTAAGAAAATGAGTGAAATATAATGTTTATTAGAGTAAATGGGGCAGTGGAGTATTGCATTTCAAAGCATTCTTGTTATGAAGTGTAACAAGCCACTCACATGGAATTTGGTTGACCATATTATAGACATTCTATGGAATTTGGTTGACCATATTACAGACATTCTATGGACTTCAGAAAACAGCCAAACATTGGAAGTTCACTGAGCATATTCTTGGTGCAAAAACATCCTTAGAGCACCTAACTCTCCTCCGCAATTTAAATATTAGTTTGATAAACTCTGTTGGACTCAAACTTCCATTCTCAAAGATTATAGCAACAAGTTTAACATTAGCACATAAAATTTATGACTTGCGAAATATCTTACAAGTTACACCTTAAATTTTAAGTACAGGATTCATCAAAGTTTTTTGAAATCTAGACTCATGTAAAACCCTTATAGACCCGAGATGGGAAAAATTTGTACTCCACGCCCATGACTGCTCCTCCACCCTACCCTGGAAACTTTAAAAGTTATGCAAAATTGTGAGCCGTAGCTCAAGAAGATCACAACAGGTTTAGAGTGAAGTTTATTTAACTCACCAGAAAGTGAGGGTCAGGTCAACGTTACCCCTCCCACCAGAAAGTGGGCTTTTATTTTGTTCATCCTAAGAACCAAAACCATTGATTGATGTAACTAACAAGAGGGATCAGAATACCTACTTTAGTGGACATTTAAAAATGATATTTACAACGTCATACATGTAAGAGGTGGTTTAGAAATCATTAAGTATCGTAGGACCAAAAACTAACGCATTTGCCTTCACATAATGAAAATATTAAAAGCTCTATTTAAACACAAAGGGTAAAAACTTACTATATGAATGATTTAAAATGCTCCAGAATAAGTATGAAACCGACATACGTAAAATGGGATTAGCAGATTTCAGAATAACAACTTAAGGCAATAAAGAGACTAACTTTCAAATGATTGTTATAAGCATCCAAAGAACTTTGTATATATTCTACGAAGAATTAAACACAAACACAAAATTTAAACAAATATAATCTTTTACCTTTGTTGGCCGACCAAGTGGCTTCCCACTAAGCTTCCGGGGTTTCTTATACACACCACCATTATAAGAAGATCTTGGGGGTCGTCCCCTTGGCCTTGGTGCCTGTGACACCATCCCATGGCCACATCCAGAGTTCCAAGCAGCTGGTTGAGACGATAATCTAGGAGGCCTTCCTCTTCGTTTTGGCATTGGCAGCAACACCCCATTTGAGGAACCAACCACCGGAAGTGGTGTTTCTTTCCTAGCGGCAGTGTCATTACCATTAGTAATGGGGACGTTGATCACTGATCCCCCGACAACACCTCCAAATTGATGAGCACTACTCTTTGCAGGCCGTCCACGTGGCCTGCTGGGCGGCTTCATAGCTACTGCAGCAGCAGGTAGTGGGCCGAGCAGAGAAGAAATGTTGGTGTTTCTCTTTGGTCTTCCTCTTGGCCTCCCTGAACCACCAGAAGGGGTGGTCAGTCCAGGCTTACGGGGGCGTCCTCGACTTCTTTTTACAGAAGTGAGCTGTGCAGGGGATTTGTTTTCAGAATCAGTCTTCTTCGGACGGCCGGGGCGCCTCTTAGTTACTGCAGTATCAATGGTGGCAGGCGGGGGAGGAGCGTCGAGCAACCCGAGAGAAGCTAACACGGATTCAGGCTCCATTCTGGGAACTTCACGGGAATCTGGGACTACAAATGGCTGACCCTCAAACTGGGCTTCTTCCTGGGGGAACTGGAGTTGACCCTGGTCATGAACCTGAAACTGGCTAATGGGTTCGGGCTGAAAATTGAACAGTGGTTGTTGTTGAAATTCCAGCTGATGCTTAGAATCAGGCTGCAGTTGGGTCTGAGGATTGAGCTTGGGGGGGCGACCAGGCCTTTTTTTCGAGCAGGAAGTTGGAGCTCCATTTTCTTCGATTTTGGGTTGGGGATGCTTTTGTGTCAGAGACCCGGGAAGCTTGTAAGAGTGCTTCACCATAACCAGCTGGCCTGTGTTCTTCAACCGCTTCAGGTGGTGAGACAACAAGGACGAGTGAGTGTGAGGAAGATCCGAGTAGAATCGCTCTATGTACCTAGCTATGGCTTGTCTGCTAGAACCGTTGGTCTCTTTTAACGTCGCAACCGCGGTCGTTATCATCTACATAGCCCAATCAACAAAAACACAGTCAGCAAACCTGAAAAACTCGTGAAGATATAGCAGCAAACAAGGAAAGCTCACTTGCTTACTAATGTAATACGAGCAAAAGGAGCTAATTTGGAAATTACACAAACCTCAGCGTAAGAAGGATGGTTATGGGTGGGTAGATGGGCGGGAGTAGGATTAGCGACCTGAGCTATGCGAGCAGAATCCAGAGGTTCACCAACTTCCGTCTGCGGCTGCGGCGGCGGCGGCGGCGAGGGAGGTGGTTGTATGAGTGGGTCCATCAGTGTGGTAAAGCAAGAACAGTAGTAGAAAAATCGCTGATTATGGAAATTTGGGATTTAGGGATTCGGAAGAAGAGGGAGAAATAGAGGTGGGAAAAAAGAAGAAGAATTGGAATGATGACAGACCGCCGAAAACGAAAGGGAGAACGGGAGAGTGCCCTCTTTGGGACTGTGTCTTTGCTTATCAGTGTGGTAAAGCAAGAACAGTAGTAGAAAAATCGCTGATTATGGAAATTTGGGATTTAGGGATTCGGAAGAAGAGGGAGAAATAGAGGTGGGAAAAAAGAAGAAGAATTGGAATGATGACAGACCGCTAAGAAAACCTTTACACGGTTTTCTTACCATAGTCTTAATTATTTTCTTATCTTTTCAAAACATTTGTGATCATAAGGCGGAATCATAAATCGGTCAGGGACCAGTGAATGAAGATGGAGTGCAAAGTTTGGATTATTCATGAATAATCAAAAGGTGAGACTATTGTAAAAAGACCGTTAAAAGGTTTGATTATTAGTTTCCATTTTTCCTTTTATTAATTCATGACTTTGTTGTTTTTACTTAGATTGTAATTCGTCCCAGACCAGACCGAACCAGACCAGACCAGATCGGACCGGATGTATTCCGGTTTTTACCCAGAGTTGAACCGGTTCATCCGATTCAAAACCATAACTGGACCGGAAACCAGTTTCCTAAATTTTCATAACTGAAAACCAGAACGGATATCATTCCGGTTCGATCCGGATCTGGTTTTTCCGGTCCGGTTCTGTCCTGCTTTCCAGTTTAAACCGGATAGTGCACACTCCTAATTATTATTATTATTATTATTATTATTATTATTATTATTATTATTATTATTATTATTATATGATGGAGTATATGGGTCTGAGCCCTAGGACCCACATACTCAGAAGAACAGAAAGCACGAGACACTGAGTGGTGCCCTCGTCAGCCATGGGACCCCCGTCGGCCGAAAAGGTACCAACTCAGAATATGGTCCTGAAGCCAAGGAACCCGGGTGCCCTCGTCGGCCGTGCCCTCGTCGGCCACGAAGACCTCACAGAACCGGATTTTACACGTACTCATTTGTACAGCCCATTAGTGGCTTTGTATTCGGCCCAGTAGCGGTCCAGTTGTAAATGGGTCTCCCAAGCCCAAGGCTTAGGAGCCCAGCTCGTATTTTCCCTATAAATACTTCATCTGGAGGTAGTTATCAGGGTTACAAATTCATTCTATTGAAGCATATTATTGCACTTCTCTCTCTAGCTCTCACTTCTCTCTAGATATACTATATCATTATTATTATTATTATTATTATTATTATTATTATTATTATTGTTGTTGTTGTTTTTGTTGTTGTTGTTGTTGTTATTGCAGTTATCTTTTGTCGTGTTTTTATTTGGACTAGTCCAGTGTATTCTGATATGGTCTGGTCTGGTTTGAGTTGTTCTGTATTTATATAATCTGGTCTGATCTGCTTGAGTCTGGGACTGAAATCAATCTAAGTAAAACGATAACAATTTTGGATAATTTGGAAGGAATATTATTATTTTAAATTATAAATGAATAAAATATAATTATTTATGGATTATAATATATATAAAAAATAAAATCTTTATGCAAAAAATATAAGAAATAAGATTTCAGACCAAACCAGACCAGACCAGACCAAACCAAACCAGATCAAACCAAACCAGACCAAACCAAACCAGACCAGATCAGACCAAAACAGACCAGACCAGACCAAAACAGACCAGACCAGACCAGCAAATTACAATCCAAGTAAAAACATCCTTATACTCCCTTCATTCTTTATTAAATGTCTTTATTAACTTTCTTGTACTCTTTTTTGGGACGTTTTTTTATTATTTCTCTTTATATTTCAAGGAAAGTTTTTGATAAAATACTCTCATTTTTATTACTTTTACCCAATGTTTTAAAAGGCGTTAGGCGCTAGTCGGGCGCCAGCCCAACGCCTAACGCCTAGACGGGTGCCTAGTCGGAGACATAGAAATTATATTTTTACATAAATATGATTAATAATGTTGTGTTTGTGTGTATAAAATACACACATTAACATGCATGAAATGATAGTGTTGTCACATAAAACATATATAATTGTTATCTTAATCTACAACTAGTAACTTTATTCATAAATGTTGTTAAAGGTACATATATATCTTAGAATACTAAAATAAAAAAGAAAAATAAAATGTTCGAAGAATCTAGACGACTAGGTGGCCAATTAAGCGCTTTGGGCGGGCAACTAGACGCCCTAAGCGGTCGACTAATTCACCTAGGCGCCGAATCAATTAGTCGGAGCGCCTAGACTAAAATCGGGGCGCCCCACCACCGCCTAGCCTAAGCGGGGACTAGTCGGGCGCCTAGAGCGATTTTTAGAACAATGCATTTACCCCTCTTAATTTTTACAAACTACTTTCTTTTTCCTACTTTATCATAAATTTACTTTACTTAATATACTCTCTTTCCTACTTTATCATCACTTTATCATCACTTTACTCTTTTTAATATATACTCTTTTTTCTACTTTATCATTTACCCTACACACTCTTCATTTATCCTACTATTTTTCTATTGAAACCCGTGCCCAAGACTAGCGGGACGGATAATAAAGAATGGAGGGAGTATTTACACAATTTATTAATTTGAGATTTGAAAAATGAAATGTATCAGGATCTTAAATAATACTTCATTCATTCTTTAAATTTTTGTCAAATTTGATCAACATGAAGAATAATAAAATAAAAATTTTGTGGTTAAGGTTTGTGTAGAGAAAGGGGAATTATCTGCAAACACAAATTCTTTACTTAAAAAAAGAGACAAAGATAGTACGTTATTCAAAAAAAAAGTTAGACAAAATTTTAAGGGACGGATGGAATAGAAAACTACTACGTATCAATTTAGAATTTAGAATCTCAATAATTGGAAACTACATAACCTAAATTGTTATGAATTTTATTAATATTTTTGATTTTAAATTTTTAAATATTATTTAGTTTTATTAAACTAACAAACTCTTATGAAGAAAAATTTATTAAAATTTAAAATTGAATTAATAAATAATTAAATAAATTAAAATCAATTCTTTAATGATGAAATCAATTAAGGGATAATTTGAGTTTGCACTCCATTTATTGTCCAAATTAAATTTTGTATCCCGTTTTCAAAAATCTATGTTTTTGTACCTCAACCTTGTATGAAAAGACAAAAATGACCCTCCATTAAGATGTTGTCCTTTAACATATTCCTGATTGAGGGACATTTTTGTCTTTCCATAAGGAGTTGGGTGCCAAAAAAAGATTTTTAAAAACGGGATGCAAAGTCCAACTTGAATAATAAAATGGGGTGCAAACTCAAATTACCCCATTAATTGTTGGAAAGTTTTTGAAATAGGACTAGAACAGTTTAAAAATTCCAAAATAGAATCGTCATGTTTTTTATTCCAAAGATAGGAGTATTTACTGTCATATTTATAAAATACTGTCAATGTCTGATAATGCTAAAACATAATAGTAATTAGTCTTTTTTGAGAAATAAAAATATCTCGGTCCAAATTCTGTAACGATCCTCCTACGAGTCTGTTTGTTCAAAAAATTAATTGTCGATTAGGACGGGAGTTTCGCTGTCCTGAAAAACACGCCTGAAAAGCTTCCATTTATTCTGTGGAGTGGCTTTCGGCTTTCTCTCGATACGCAAAACATGTTGGCACAGCTGAAAGAAACGTACGCATGCATCCCCTCAACTGAACGGGGTCGGGGCATCCTGATTTCCGGCGACCAGAAGTCCAACTCCATCCTCTACTGCAATGGCCGATCCGTTATCATCCGGTACCTTGATCGCCCGCTCGAGGTCTCCGTCTACGCTGAACACGCTTACCAAACCACCGTCGCCAGATACTCCCCCAATGGAGAGTGGATCGCCTCCGCCGACGTCTCCGGTACCGTCCGGATCTGGGGTACGCACAACGATTTTGTTCTCAAGAAGGAGTTCCGTGTCCTCTCGGGTCGGATAGACGATCTCCAGTGGTCGCCTGATGGGATGCGCATTGTTGCTTCCGGTGATGGCAAGGGGAAGTCCTTAGTTCGCGCATTCATGTTAGTTAGTTTCCAAATTACGAGATTTTAATCATTTCTGGAACTCTGGTCGAAATTGAATAAATGCCTCAGTTATGGATGAATGTCAATTTTGCCATTTTGTTTTTTAATGAATACGATTGGTATGGAGCGAGTTCTATTTGGGGTCATAACAATTCTGCAATATGTTTTCCATCCTCTGTTCTATCATCTATAGCTAATTGCAATGCTTCAATTTCTTTTGTGTTTATGGTCCATCTATCATGGCAGGTGGGATTCAGGTTCTAACGTAGGAGAATTTGATGGCCACTCAAAGCGAGTTTTAAGTTGTGCATTTAAGCCAACTAGACCTTTCCGCATTGCAACATGTGGAGAGGACTTTTTGGTGAACTTTTATGAAGGTCCCCCCTTTAAGTTCAAGCAATCTCACAGGTTTCTTTTTTACTTCTTTTGTTAAATTTATATTATTATTATTATTAATTATTAATTTATTATATGAAACAAAACCGATAGTGTCACTGCCCTTTGAAGTGCGGAGTATCATCATACTCCATGTATGCATTTTCCCTGATTTGTGTCTACCTTAGTACCCAGCCCTAAATGGCATCCTGGTACTTTTCAGTTTTCATGCCTATTCACCGAACCAACTCCTTATTTTTTAAGGGGCAATTGGCACAGCCAAGTTTTTCTTCATATCCAAAGGTATATGAGAATTAATAGAATATGAATATGAAGACCCATCTGCCAATAGTATAAAGTGGACAGTTGTGCAACAAGGAGCGCATAGAGAAAATATGAAGAACAATGCTTAAGGGCGAAATTATACTAGTATTCATTAAGATGTGAGTAAGACAACTTACATTTGGATCTATCGTATTTTCAAATTTAGAGAATTATAGCAGATTCCAAACCAAAAATTTCAAGGGAACAAAAAAAGTAATTTCCATCACACTTCAAACAGATGAGGAATTTTTCTTAACTTATGAAACAGAATGAATCAGTTCTAGATTTTTTTCTCCCGAGCAACAGAGATAGTAAATCAAATTAAAAGTTACAGAGATGGCATTTAGGAGAAGAGAAACATTGAAAAAATTATAAGGAGTTTAAGTCTTAAATTCAATCATATTGTTCATGCCATTGAAAAATCAAAAGTTCATGAAGAAAGAAAATAATGGTTAATAACTCAGCACCTGAAGCAAGCATTAAAGTATGAAGTTAGTATCTCTAGAACAAATTCACACGTTAAAGAACAAAGGCGAATTTAAAAAGAAAGGACAACGAGAAGAGGCAATTGTGATACTAGCTCTTTACCTCATGGAAAAGGCAGTGG